TGGGAAAAGAAGAATTTTTCAGCATGGTCTGAGTAAGTGCAAGGAGTGGGTTGAGCTAAGAGTGGGAAGAAATGTTTGATATTGGCAATACCTGGTAAATCAGAGACTAAGGAATGGTAACTGACCTAATAATGGAACCTCTGAGAGCTGACCCATCTCTGCACTTGACAGTCTGCATCACTTAAAGCACCTTTTCCCTCTAGTGGGATCACAGCAGCACGTCCCTTCTGTTCCCTGTCCCAAAAATTCCAGCGTTCAAGACCCCGTGCTTACAGCTAAACAGCAAAAGAGAAGTAAAAGGTAGGGGTAGAAACCCTAGGAAACCATAAACTCACAAATTGTTTTTAACTAAATTCTTTAGTGAAAAGTTTTGATTTAATTAGCTAATTTAGTCTTTGCTACTTTTTCTATATGACATAATGCTATAGCATTAAGTGCCACTGGGTTACATGGTTTGTGGTGGTTTTATATACTCCTATAACTGTGATGAAATTTATGTGATGAACTGAAAGTGGAAGGAATCAGTACCTAAATAACTCAGTGTGTTACTGCAATATTTTCTTGGGTTTGACAATGGCAGGTTGGTTGGGGATAATCATGGTTGTTTGGGAACATTTAACTTTAAACTTACTCGGTAGTTCCAGAGGCACCAGGATCAGTCCTCTCCTTCTCTGCAGAATTTTGATGCTCTATCCTGGTCTTTTCATTTTCTCTTTAAAATGGTTGATGTGAGAACATGTGTCCTAGAAGGTACATTTCCTTCCCATGTTGTCCTGGTTTCGGTGATTTGTCACTGCTTTCTGGAGTTTCATTTTGCAGTAAAAAAAGGCAGACAAACATTGAAATCAAAGTTTGTCGTAGTATACACAGAGATTCCGTAACATCCAGCAGCATTCTTCATTACAGAGTCCTCAAAAGAATTTAATTGTTAGTGAAGATTAACAGCTTTCCTCTCTAATTCAGTAGTTTCCTAATTGTTAAAACTTTCATGTCATCATGGGATTAAGAATTGTAGCTTATCTTCAACACAGCCAATTGCAGTGTGATTGAGCAGATATTTGTTTTATTGGGGCTTACAGTCACTGCTGTAGCTGGTTTGAGATGTCCTGCTTGCACGTGGCTTTTGTGTTTTTCCTCTCTATTCCTGTTAAATCAAGACATGCTCAAGTGATGCAATTGCTGTAAATAAGAAGGTGATTTACAAGCCATGTACTGTGCAGGTTGCAGCAGTTGAATCCTCTTTTGTGTACTACAGAAAGGTGAGAAAACAATGTTGATGGACATACACAGAAGAGAAAGTTCCAAAATGTAGCAAAGCTTCCTCCCCACTTGGACCATGTCCTGAAAGTGTTGCTGCACACATAGGCAGTAACAAACAGGGCTGGTGGAAAGCAGTGTTGTAGTTGATAGTACAGAACCTCCAGGGCCTCTCTGGTACTTTGGGGACACCACAGACTGCTGCAGCCGGGGGCTAGAGGTCGAGTCTTGTGGCAGTTTTAGTGTTTCATGGGCATTGCTGTCTTTCATTGGACTGATAGGGGTTCAGTGCTCCCATTCACTCCAGCAAACAATATTTAACACATTTTCTGCAAATGTAAAATTACTGAGTACCAGAATTTTTCAGCTATTCTGAAATTTGGCTCTTGTTTACAAGTCCTGCCAGTTTTCCAAAAAAATATTGTATTACAGTTATTTTGCCAATAGCCTGAACACAACGGAAGAGGGACACCCTTTCTATCATGTTTGTTTCAAATGCCATTATTGCTTCTCATAAAGGACTGTTCTGCATTTCCTTCCTCTTTCTGAAATCCTGCCTTAAAGCACAGTCCTTTATGAGAAGGATTAATAGAATCCATTTATTCTATAGAGGAATTCACACAAATTTTGCTGAATAACACTTGGATTCTTGTAAAGAAAACAAACCCAACAGCTGAAAAATACATAAACAGACCTGGCTCCTGGCACATTTGCCAAGTTAAAGCAGAGAGAGCAAAACCAGTAGCAGGAACAACAACACATACCCTGAACTGACTGCACTGCACAATGTTCTCCTGCCTGCCTTTAGCTGAACGGCTGTGAAGTCCCTGAGCTCTTCAGTGCCTAAGAGACACACAAAAATTTTTCTGAGGGTCAAGATGGACTAATCTATTTATTTGTATTGAATATTAAGAATGTTCGAATACCAGATTACCTGTTTCATTTAGGATACTCCATTTCCATGTCTGGCTGGCCATGGTACTGTGCCCACAGGAAGGGGGAGCTTGCTCTTCCCAAAAGCCCAGTGCAGGGTGCTGGGCAGCAGCCTCAGAGGGTCCTGGAATTTTGTGGCTGGCTGGAGGCAGAGACTGCCACATTCTTCATTACAATTCTTCCTGCACAGCAGTGGGGGTCAGACATCATGTCAGCTCCATTTCTCTTACACTAGTAGGATTAATTTAGCATTGCCCTGCTTGAATTCTAGATACTTGGTCACTGTCCCAGTCTCAGCCTCATTTAGACTGCTAGATAATTCTGTTTCATCAGAATGATATAGGACAGCAGAAATTATAGAGAATTCCAAATATTATATGCAATATAAAGGTCCCATGTAGTATAAAGTACAATTATTAGCTGTTATAGAAAGAAGAAATCTATATTTTCCCAGCACATTTAGCATATTCCACAAGTAGCTGACATACCATAAGAACCCAGCATCTTTCATCTTTCTAGCAGTGGATAAAGCTGAGTGGAGCAAAGCAAGTCAGAACGTAGAGTTAGATGTCCAGCAGGTGAGAGACTTAAGAAAACAGAGGGGGCTCTTAATGACACTTGTGACATCATCATAGAGAATTTTGTACTTCAGGCTTCTCAGTCTCTGTCACTCCCACCAGCCACTCTTGTAGTCTCACACCAGTCTAAATGCAAAAAGCTTAACTTTTATCTGGTATATTGCCAAGTGTATCTTGGTGCAGAGATAGTTCATTTCAAAGCTCCATCCATCAGTTAGTCCAGAGTTAGAGTTTGGCTCTGGTTTAGGTATACTTAAACTGACAAATTTGAGATCATCAGTCATAGAAATTGGAGACCATCGTGGCATAAGTCAAGAACAAGCCATCAGAGTTGTTATGATTAAACCCTTATCCTTCATTTTCCAGTTTAAGTTTGGTAGGGAGTGAATAAGAACAATTTTAAGTTTGGATATTCAGCTTTATGAACAAAAAATAATAGTGAATTTTGCATATATGAATATTCTGAGCTTTCTTATATGAGAATAAAATGGTCAGGCATCCAGTAACACCAAGACACACCTGAATTCTGGCTAGAATAGTCCTAAAAAAACATTCAGTGAGAAAAATACTCTCTTCTTACTAGCTTTTTGGTTAAAAAATCTCACCAGCATGAGCTACATTAATATTACTTTTATGTGTGCTCCTTGTTCAGCTTTTCTTTTTTTAACTTACTGATGCATCTGAACAGTGTGTGAAATATTTTATCTTTGAATTTTCTTGGGGTTTTTTATGAAGCTAAGGAAAAATGCTGTAGTTGTGCCATTTGGAGGCGAATATGGCACAAAAATCACTTTCTTAGGAAGAAAGCTTTATGTAGGTAGGTTATATCATGAGTGACAGGTGCTTTAAATAATGTCTCTAGATTGAACATAACTTGCATTAACTTCCATATACATATTTCTCAATGGTTTTAGCCTAACCTCTTCTCTGTAAGAGCTACACTGAAGTCTGTAGAAAAAGACTACCTGTACAGAAAATTTGGAATCTAAACCAAACAGGATTCTAAATTTTTGGAACAAATGGTTTAACAATGTAGAAGTTGTTCAAATTTTAAAGTTCTTGATTTTTTAAAAAAGTGTACTAGAAAGTATAAATTACAAAAAAGGAAATTAATCATTCCATGCTCCTGTGCATCAGTTCAGATTTGAAGATGTTCCCATCCATTCCATTTCACAGACCAAACTGTACTTCAGGGGGAACTTTTCTCTGGATTTAGAAAAGTGAGGGGGTGCCAAATACTAACAGCAATAAAAACCCAGTCTGGGTTATCTTTCAGTTGTCATGTGCAAACACTTGTGGCCTGGATTTAGACCGGTCATTCAAAGTCAGAGTCTCTGGGGGTTGCTGGTTGAACTCAATCTGTATCTCAATGCTTGGTTTCCTTCCTTAGTAATTTCTAACATCCAAATTAGAAATTTTATGCAATATCATAAAATTGGACTCTTCACCTACCATCACAAGTTTTCCATTCTCTGTTTCTTTTTCATCTAGTTTCATCATCCTGGTTCCACCTCTCTGTGCTGTTTTGTTCTTTCTCCTTTTACTCTGGGCCATTTAATTTGTACTTTTCTCCAGGTCTTTGATGTAAAGTGAGGAACAGATCATTCCACAAACATTTTTTTTCCTGTTGCTGCTGTCTCCCGAAGCACAGTTGCCCCCATATCTGTTCCTTCCTGTTCTAGATGTGCCTTCGGCCAAAATTGCAGCAGTACTGGACATCACATGCATAACCCCCTATAGCTTGTTCCAGCTTGTTCCCACCTGGATGGTTTGGACTTTTCCAAGTTGATAGGGCCATTTCCTTCAGGGCTTCCCTTTAGTTCTGATGCCTGCCCCATCGCAGCAAGGCATTCCCCTTCATGCCCTCTCTCTCTTGCAGAACTGATAAGCTCTGCTCTTCCTAGTCCTGTGTCAGCAAACACCACTGCAGAGGGACATGCCTGCAGCAAGGGGTCCTCCTGCTCTGTTGTCTGATGATGCTCCTTGCTCTGTATTATGGCCAAAAAGGAGGTACATATTAGACATCAAACCTGAAAGAGGACCGCTATGGTTCAGCTGCAGTCGTGCAATCAGGAGCAGAATCTGACCCATGTTAAACACTGGGCATGGCCTCATGCAGAAACTGGTGTTCACAGTGTTCCTGTGTGCAGCTCTATATGTCACTACTCTGAAATCAAAAAATTGTGGCATATCCTTCTTATCTAATTCACCTATTTTGTTCCCTCTTTGTAGAAGAACTTGTGAAAAATGTTGGTGAACAGGAAAAAGACCAAAGCAGAAATTCCACAGATGCACAGTTACAGGAAGAGGCAACAAGGACACAAAATGAGAGTAGTCAGGGGAGTGATGGTACAGCCTGTCCTCCCAGATCCATCGTCCTACAAGTAGTCTCTTTCGACACTCCTCTGAGTGATGAATCCAGCTCAGAAAAGTGCACTAAGTCTGATCCGAACCAGAAAGATCTCAGCGATGCCCAGCAAGAGACCCAGAATACAGACCCACTGAATGGTAATGCTTCATCACAGAGCACAAGCCAGTCTAATGGAGCTGTCCAGGGTGAAGCTGCAGCAGTGTCTGGTATCTCCCTGTCAAACATCAACAGCAATGTAAAATATTGAAATAAGGTGTTGGACAAACCACCAGCATAGGACAGTTTCTTCAGGCCTGTGTAAAAGGGGTAGTATCCTAAAACAAAAAATAGAAACATATAAACAAATATCAACTTCTTGATATCAGCTATTTGGGATCAACTAGAAAATTCTTTAGAGAATACACTTCAGCTGAACTTGAAGAATGGTTTTAGAATAATTTAAAGATATATGTTTACAATTAAACAGTCATTTGTTACTGGAGAATAAGGTAAACTTTCAGAACAGAACTATCTAATATTTTCTTTTTGAATAAATAATTACACTATTAATATTTGTTCTCTCCTTAGTTTGGGTACCTAATAGGATTTTGTTAACCACATCCTTTGTAGCAAACATAGTGTGAATCTAAGAGTTAAGCTTAAGTAGATGGAATTTGCCAGCTGTAGCTGTCGTGGGACTGTGTCATTCACTTAATCAGAAAGATCAGTCTCTTGGCTGTAGCTGCTGGACAAGTGGAACAGCCAGAAAATCACTAAAATGTCAGAATATGTTTTTAGACTGTAAGTATTTTATCACAAGATGACCATGTCTAGTATCTGGAGAGTTCAACACAGTATCAAGGGCAGCATGCCTGAGCAATGAGGAATAGATGTTATCAAAGGAAGAGGAAGACGTTGTACATCTTCATTTTATTTTCCAAGTTTGCTTATAGCTAGAGTAAGCTTTGAGCTGTTAGGGTAATAAGAATAATTAAGGATATAATGACACTTCTTTTCCTCACTTTTACTTAAAATATGAAACTCATTAATGCTTTAATGACAGTAAGCCTTGCAATATTGCGCCAGAAGTATGGCATTGTCTGAGCAGCAACATTGAAGTGCTTATAATGCTTAGCTTAGACACGAGTATATGACTTGGCATATTTCTCAAAAAACCTTTTTATGAAGAACTCCCACTTACTCTAGATTTCCACATTACATGGCTCCATGCTTTTATTGTTGACAGGTTTTTCCCATCAGAAATAACAGATGGTTAATTTAGGGCCCTAAATCAAAATATTTACACTAAAATTACTTTCACAGCATTTGAAGTTGTCTAATAACTGACATTTTATCTTTTGACATGTATTTTTTACAACAGGTTTCTATTAAAACTCAAAATTTGAGTGCCTTAGAGAAGCCCCCCATCTCCTGGATGAGGAATGCTGTAGGAAAAGCTGCATCTTTTATCTTTCAGACTTGTCAGAAGGCAGTTGTGGTGTAGCTGTACTTTTGGGTCTTCAGATGGCTGACCAACAAAAATAATGTTTGAGAGATACAACCCAGCATGCAGTTAGTTGCCATGTCAATCTTTGCATTCCAGCTTTCCAATAAGAAAATAAAAATAAGCGATTTCTTATTTTATAAAATGCTAATCTCATTTGTTTTCTAAGGTAGAAAACAAATGAGATTAGAGAATGCATTGTACTTTGAAACTTCAAACTGCAAATTTATAAAATAGGTAAGAAACCATTAGGTTTTTAATAGTGCTTTTGCACCTTTGTTGATGTCCAGTGGATCCAGACAGGTCTCTTTTAACCAGGGATGGACATTTTCAATGGAATGCTGCTTCAAGCAAGCAGAAGGTAGCAAATGCATGACCTTTCCCTGTTTCACAAATTAGACTTATTTGAGTATTCTAAGAGAGCCCATACATCTGTCAGGACACTCTTCATGTTTCTTCTAGACTTCTCTAATTCTGTAGTTTCTATACTGAGGATGGGGGGCTGGAAGGTTAAGGGGATGTCCAGAGTGCTTGCTGACACCCAGGATGGAGAAGTGAGCACCTAGCACCTGCTAGGGCTGGGAGGGTGAGATAGAAAGGAAAAAGAAAAGTAGCATAGCTATTCAAGTTGAAGTTTCATATGTTAGCTGTCATTATTCTGTCTTTTATAAAAAGCAGAAAATCCAGTTGTTTTCTGTGATTCAATTATAGCAGCTGGGGAACACTGGAACGTGGTGTGTGTGAATTCTTGGGAACTGTTAATGAATGTCTGGATGTGCTATGGTGAGGGGGTTCCCCATTTAAAAAAATTTTAAAAGGGTTCTTTTCTGCTTTTTGTGTCACATCTCATTCTAGGTGTAGTTCTTGTAGACCTTCACATTTTAGTGACAGGAGTAATTCTGCCCTGGGTCCAGGTTGGTGCAAAGGGAAGACTGGAGGGTCGCTGTTACAACTACTGCAGTTGAGACTGAATGTTGCTTTTCTCCACAATACCTTTTTTCCTTTCCATCATCTCACTTTCATTTAATTGAATGGTACAAGATTAAATGAAACTATTATAAGGTGATTTTTTTTAAGTGATGATTTTTCTTTTCTCCTGAGTGATTTATTAATTAGAACATTAATTTTAAAAACTGCTTATGTTTAATTAAACAACTCCACATTTCAATGATTTATAAATGCTAATTGGCAAACTTAACTCCTCACTCGTAATGATAGCCACATTAATCCTTAATATCAAAATGCAAGGGAGACAATAAATCTGTGATAAAAAAGATTGCCAATAGCTTCACTCTATATGACAGGAGAGGACTGCCCCGTCCCATCAAGTGTGCAGCACATTCCACATCACCAGCAGTCACTCAGTGAGAGCCTCTGGAGAACAGCCAGGTTAAACAGCAGTGGGCAGATCCACACCAACCACGTGCCAGTTTGATTTATGGTGCTGCAGGTGGCATCGGGATCACCTGTGCCGTGCCAATGCCTGGTGACCGCTCAGTGCAGCGGCGGCTCCGTGGAGCTGAGCGAGCATGGAGCCCTCTGTGTCCCAGCAGAGCAGGAGCAGATTGCTGTGCTGCCTGCCTCCTTAGTGCTCCTGGGGCAAACCAGGATCCTGGGACTAAGGGAAGGCATCCGTGTCCAGGAATGGGATAAGGATGGAGGGAAGGTTAGATTAAAAAAGCAAATAATGTGTTTATAAAAAAAGATAGGGTTTAGAAGATAACAGCCATTAGCAACCTCATTTTTTTTATCATGTAAAAAAACTTTTATAGAAACATATAGAACATATATAGAAAGCTATATATGCCTTAGAAGTTACTGTTTAGTTTTTGAAATTTATACCACAATATAATAAAGATATTAAGCTATTAGGGGACCTTCCAGAGGAGGTCACAGGATAGGAAGGGTCTAGAGCAGAAGCCATATGAGTAACAGCTGAGGTTACTTGGTCTGTTCAACCTGAACGAGAAGAGACTGAGGGGAGACCTCACTGGAGCTACAACTTCCTCACAAGGGGAAGAGAAGGGGCAAGCACTGATCTCTTCTGTGGTGACAGTGGCAGGACCTGAGGGAATGGCCTGAAGTTATGTTGGGGAGGTTTTAGGTTGGATACTAGAAAAAGGTTCTTCACCCAGAGAGTGGCTGGGCACCAGAACAGGATCCCCAGGGCAGTGGTCACAGCACCAAGGCTGACAGAGTTCAAGAAGTATTTGGATAAGGCTTTCAGGCACAGGGTGTGATTCTTGGCAACGGCGCTGAGACCAGGAGCTGGATGTGATGATCCTTGGGGGACCTTTTGAACTCGGCATATTTTGTGATTCTGTTAATTGTTTTGTTTTAAGGCTTCCACAAACTCAAGTGTCAAATTTAAAATCAAGGTGTTTGGATAAACAGCTTTTGCTTTCATACTTCTTCCCACCCCTATTTTTTTTGTTTGTTTTTTATGAATAATAATGCTAATAAAGTTTTGCTAAATCCCTCCAAAAAGAGCCACAGTCTGAAAGATCTGTAGACATCCTTGTTCTAATTCTTGTCTAATTAATGTTATTCAAATTTTGAGGCTTTAAAAGCCTTTGAAATATTTGTTTGTTGTGTGAATTCCACCTACATTTAATTGATTGAAAATAAGGGGTGGTGTAGGATGCTGTTTGTGGGAATATGGCCCATCTGCTTGTGTCTGCATTACAGAGTGGGCAGCACACACTCTGCCACCATTCAAGGTAGTGAAACAAAGGTGAAATCAGTAGCAATTCTTATTTATTTACAGTGAAGCCATGGCAGATTTGTAGGTACTAATTTTCTTCTTTCTTCATGCTTGTTCTCTTGAGTTTTCTTTCCTCTCTTCATATTCTCTTTTCTGAACTGTCAGCCTCTTCTTCAACTCGCCATCATCTTTCAATTTTCCTTTCAGATCATACATCATCTTCTTTCCCTTTCAGTTACTTCTGCCTTTGTTTTCTGTCTTTCGGAAATATTCCCCTCACTATTTTTATAACTTATAAGCTTCTCCCAGGTCATCTCTTCCACTTTTGATAGTTCTATGCTTTTTCTTTCTGACATTGTCCATTCAGTGCTCTTACTGGTGGGATTTCTCTATCAAGTGGATACAACTGAGAAGTTACTATATGTAGTTAGTAAATAATGCTGTGAGTTTGCTACATTGTACCTTGCCGACCATCTCAGAGTGTAAATTCCTCAGCGGTACTCATTCAAAGCAGCTGAAGGAATAGTTTAAGTAACAGTTTAATTCTATGACTGTCTATTTGAGATTCATCTTGTATCACTTAGTTTGAAAACTGCTTGTGTTACTCTGTGTCATTTCTCCTCTCTGATTGAATTTAGTTCTTAGAACCTGACACTGGCATCTTTCATTATCTGGGAGGAATTTAGACTCTGATTTGAAAGCATGTGGTAAAGAGGATTTAAACAGCTCTTTGCAGAGGATGAATTTTGACTTTCAATAAGCTGGAACAAAAAAAATTAACCAAGCCCACTTTATTCATACTCATGTAAAAGTCGTCATAGTTTTGTTTCATACTGTGATCTGTTGCTTCCATTCTATCTTTTGCCTTGTGGATAAACCATAATGATTAGTCAATTCAAGATGATGCTTATTCTGGTGAGAAAGCAATTAAAGGAAACAGTGACTGAAACCTCATTTTATCCTTAAAATATCTTGAGGAAGTAGATTCTGTCTGTCTGTGGCTGTGCAGATTCTCTTGACTTGGTTAACTTCCTCATTCAGGTTGCCAATCACATTTGTTTATCTTCCAGGTGAGCCTAAACACTGTAAGAAGTCAGAAGATATCGTAAAAGCCACGGAGCAGACAGAAGCACTGGTACAGAACTAGATTTGCTATTTCTTATAAGCTTCTGACATTTCAGGCAGGACAGGTAATTTGGTAATTTCTTTCTTTTAATGGGGGGGTGTTTTATACCATATAGGCTTGCTTAGTGCTATTCTTAACCTCTTTGTTCCATCCCAGTTGTGCTTATATTAAAAAATATTGAAATGGGGGCACAGAATACCCCACTCTCACGCCTTTAAAAAATTCAGTATAAAGAAGGGAAAACCAGTACTTTTAAATCTGAATCCTTAATGTCAGAGTAAATGATCATGTGATGAATCATCCTCAATTCAAGTGTATGGAATATTGGAAGTAGTAGTATCAGAACTCTCTTGTTTATGAATTTTCATTTGACCTCTGTTGCAGGAGAAAAGAACTCTAGCTGTTCCTACCTCATGATCTCAGAGGCTGTTATCTGTCAACTTGTTCTTGGATCATCCTATTTTTGTGGAGAGTGATTGAACAAAATGTTTAAAAATGTAAAATGTAAAACCTGAGCTGGTAACTCAAGGCACTTAAAAATTCGCAAGATTTCAGTTGTTTTTGTGTTGCTATTTCCTCTTCTATTCTGCTTTCTTAAACTAGCCAAAATAATCTTTTCAGCCAAAGTTGGACCTTGCTTTGTTGCATCACTGGTACCAGACATTTCCAGTTAATCATGAGACATGTGAAAACATGATGTTTGTCATCTGCCTGGGATTGCTGTTACATGTCACTGCTGCTGGCATCCAATGAAAATGGAAAATCAAAATGAAATGTGTTTCTAGATACTTGTTCATGCAATCATGCTGCATGCACCATAAAAATCCTACTTGTTATCTTCCTTAAAATATCTGGAAATAAATGTTTGTGGACTGTACAGGGAAGTTGCAAAGTTACGCTGACCAGCCTGTGTGAATGAAGATTCTTCCCCACTGCAGTGGCTGCCATATGGACAGAACTGGTGTTGAACAAATTTGAAAATAATTGAAATATTTCTTTAAAATTAATTGAATAGCATCTGGTGTTAAAGATTAAAATATTCTGAATCGTGTAATATTTTGAAAGACAACAGCGCTGGTGTCAGCCCTACCATGAAGCTGGTACTTACTGTTTTGTATGGTGGAAGAAACAGCAACAGAAATACATGAAAATTGCTTCACTTCAGCAAAATGTTGTGCTGCCTCTCAGACAGGACTGGAAGGTGACACAGAGGCCTTATGTCATGGTTTATCTCAAATGCAAAGGTGACAATATGCATCCAGCAACATCTTTGCTAGAGTTTGTTTCTTTCTGAGGGGCAGCAAAACCAGCAGCACACAGGCAGTTCTCTGCAAGAAGCCTCAGAATGAGCCCTCCAGCCCAAACTGTGCCCATAAAGAAACTCCATTTTCATCTCTTCTTCCCTTGAGCTGCACATGACCCCTCTTGATTTGTCTGGGTGTCTTACAGAGCTGCAGCCAACCTCATTTCCCTCTGCTGGAACCTGCCAGGAAACTTCTAGGCTCCCGTTCAGGTTGTAGGCACTCAGGTGGCTCCAGACGCTGCACTCCCTGTTCTCCTTTTCGGACCCTGTGGTTATTACCTCACCGAACAAAAAGTCTTTCTAATCAGCCATGGTCCACTGTGAAGGGGACTTGTGGGGGCAGTGGCACTCTGCTCTGTGCCAAGGGCGATTGACACCTGTGTGCTGTTCATCTGCTGCTTCACGGATCCAGCCAGAGCTCAGCAGGCATCAGGCTGCACCTCAACAAGGGCACGCTTTGTCCAGCTGAAGAAGGAATCACGAAACAATCCCCTTTGCTGGCCCTTACATGTCCATACCTGTTGACTGTCTCTTTTCTGACAGCAGAGCAGTCAAAGTTGAGCTGGGAACAGTGTAAGCTCTGAGCCCCGGGACAAGGGCATGCCGAAAGGTGGAATTCCTGTCATTGAATATGTAAGCCATACATGTGCTATGCATAAGTAGTATGCATAGTTTTAACTTAAGAAATGTTTGTGCATATAGGATGTAAAAAATACATTTAAATTGTTTTGTGTATCTGGTCCAAGGCTTGTATTTAGCATGGACAAATTTCTGTACAGTGCCATTAACGGATGAAATGTTAACAGATGAAATTGTATCATAGATGTTATAACGCAATCAATATTTTTTGCTAAGAGTTAAGAATTTATATATATTCTCTGCTGGTGTTTAAGCAAATTATTAGTAGCCTGGACCGCTCTGTGCACCTTTGCATCCTTTTTTGGGAATGTTGGACTCTTTCTTTTCCTTTGTAATAAAATGTAAACCATCTTATGGCTTCTTATTGTCCTTATGACAAGAGAAGAAATTTAATGGTCATATCAGACTTTTTTAAATTGTAAGTTGCCATATGCTGTGGCAGTGAAAAATCTTTTTGATTAAGATGTGAGAAGTCAGAAACTTATTTTAGATAAGTAGATCATTTGTAGTTCCCACCAAATTTGAAAAGAACAAAAGACAACTACTATCTTTAAAAACTGGGCCAGTTAGATACTTGCTACTGACTGTTTTTCAACATGATAATTTATGATTCATTGAGACTGAAAGTCTGAAGCAATCAGAATTTAATCTTTATATTGTATTTTCGCTTTCAGACTTTCACCATAGTTGAACTTAAAGGTTTTTTTCTGTGTCTCTATCCCGCTGACATTTATTACTCTGCAAGAAGTTTCCCCTGGAAATACAAGCAGAAAATATAACAGGCTCTGCAGAGAACTTGAAGCACCCTGTGGGGCTCTCAGTGTCCTGTTGTCACAGTGAGCACCAAGATCTCCCACTGCAGAAGCTAGAAGGAGCTCCTGGTCTCACAGGAGGTGCTCATTGCCTGCAGATCTCATTCATTAGGATAGAAGAGCAATTTTTCTATAAATAATCCTATTTGCTCATTTGTATTCAGATTTTATCACTGTGGTAGATGTTACTGAAATACAAGAAGAGTCTTTAGTTTTTTGTTAATGCCAGCTGATTCTCTTTCTTTCTTCCTTCCTTTATTCCTAGCAAGATTTTGCCTGGACATGACCCAAAGCTTGGTGTGTTGTTTGGATGAGGAGAAATTTTCTTTGATGGAAAAGACCAATAGAGCCAACACATTCTGGTTAAGGCGTTGTGCTGGGTGAAATTTGGGTTCATATGGGAGAAAGGCTTCTTGAGAGAGCCTCTCCCAGAAGAGTAGTTTTATATCTGAAACCTGTAAGGCTGTGCTACCAAAACACTGCATGGGGCCCTAGGAAATGGTGTTTGTATCTGCATCTCTCCCACAGCATTCTGGGCATGTACCCTGCATCGAGCACACTGACGAGCTGTAGCTATAAATGAGCCCTCAAGAGTTTTATTTTGTACTTTTATCTTGAGATATATGACAGATATATTATGTAATATTGTTATGGGTTATGATCTAGCCAGTATTTTTTTTATTTAATTTTCAAGAAGGCAATCTACAACTGTGTGTTTTTATCCTGCTGTATTTGTCCATATTTCCTATGATGATATTCCCAAATAAACCTGATTTGAGGGCAAGGATTGTGAAGCTCCTGAGTGTTAGTTACAAATTGGATTTCCTGGAGCATTTTTGCTCCTTTGTGTATGACTGACTTTGAGAAGTGACAGTGTGTATATATGGTCATTTCCAACCCTCTGACCCATTTGGGACTCCACAATTTTTCCATTACTGTCCCAGTTTGCCACACAAACTCAATCACACCCTCATAGCATATTTGAAAACAATTTCTTTAAGCGAGTCTTGTCTTCTTAGCCCTTATGGCTAAAATAGCCCCCACATGAAGAAAAAACATAACCAATAAAATATTTTTTACACAAAAAAATTCATACTGTGGTTGAAATTGAAGAAGCCACTGGTACTGTACTTGTTAGCAACAATTCTTCAGAAAAGGTATGACTTTGAGAGATACCTCCATGGCATGGTGTAAATTTTATAATCCAAGTTCAGTGTAAATGGAATTAAAGAGGACCCCTTTCTACTTGGATTGAAAATGAATGGAAAGAATCCCATAGGCTCAAACATGTATCAAATCCTAACTAGGTACATGATGAAAATAAATCAAGACAACTACTTTATACCATGTTCTTTGCAGTTCCTCTTTTTCAGGTGCCATCTGAGCTACATGCATGAAAGGCCTTCTTGTTGCAGAGATGCCAGAAGTCAAACAAGCCACTACTGTGAGGAAAATGCTTTCAAATTAACAAATCAAGATCACTAGGGGTAAGTGTCTAAAATGTGTATTTTGAACAGACTATACAGTTATTGTATGAGAAAGAGGAAAGTGTAAGTATGACTAACATTCTCCAGCAGCAGATTAGAGATTAGTGTGTAGAGTAGTTTAGCAGAAAAAAAAGGTTGTCTGAAAGGCGAGTACATCCCTTTAAAAGCATTTTTAAAAAAATTGCATCCTTGAAAAACAGTATGGAAAAATTAGTGGAATTGAATTTAATGCTGTGAGTAAAAGAAATTGTCCTCTGTCAAACACTGTGCAAACATTTAGGCCACTTCCCTGGAATAATTTTACTTTCCTGGTCATTAAAGTATTTAATGGGTCTTCAGAGACTCCTTTTCCATGTCCCAGGGCAAACATTCAAAAGTTTTATCAAACTGTGAATATCTCAGTTTTCCCCCAGGAACAAGAAAGAAAGTCATAAACATGGAGTTATAAATGGAAAAAAAATTCTTATAAAAATAGGGAAAACTCTCTTATAAAACTTTTTGGATGAACTTTGCTGCAAAATACTTTATTTGTGTCTAGGCCAGTCCTTTGCTTGTGGTCTTTGAGTGGAGAATTGCTGGGGAACTTTACATTAGCTGAACTTGGACAGATAATGTCTTAATAAAATCAGCTATTCTGAGATTACATTACACATAGTACATGAACTTTAAAGCTATTGAGTTTTATGCATTTGCAACATCCTGTATAGGTCATTATTACAAACCAGAAGTAACGAAGTTGTAGCCAAATAAGGGGGTAAAATATCACAAAGGTAGGTGCAATCTTGGCTTTAAGATGGAACAGTTAAGCAGAATAGAAGTTTCTTCACTTTTTTTTTGTCCTGTAGTTTTAAAGCTGTCTCATCACCACTTAGGGCCTAATGCTGGTGCACCTACAAGCAACACTCCTGAACTTGCAGGGACCTACAGTCCCCCTGCCTGTGGGACTTGTACCATAATACCATGAATAAACTTCAAGTTACATGAAAGTATTGGCTAATTGTTTGTATAAGGCCTGATATGATTATTTCAATCAAATTTCAATGAGTCAAAGGGTCAAATTCACCTATGATGCATTTCCATGAAATCCAAGAGAGATGGTGTCAATATACCAGAAATTAATTTGTTAATTAGATAGTAATTGGTTGTCTCTTGCTTTCTCTGTATTCAGCTGGCTTATAGATTTTGTTTTCTGCAGTGCAGGGTTCTCTGAGTGTCTAATGTCTCTGTACAAAGCACATTTTTAACTTTAGCCCATCTTGAATTCTTTTATTGAAATTGTGCTTCCTTATCTTTGAGACTGCTCGACTTTGAGAGAGAACTGTATTTTTCTTACAAGTCAGAAACGAGCATTCACCTTTATTGTCTGGGGTTCAGCAGTAGTTCTCAAATGGAAATAATGGCAGCATATTTGGGTCAACCATTTTAATACATGATGCATCTTTATTTTAGTGTTCCCACCTGGGGAGGACTCCTAATCTGCTAGGCACAAGGTGGTTTGGGGTAGGGCAGGACTGTGACTACAGCCAAAGTAACTCTGGAGGACATGTGTGTGGTTTCAAGTAAATAGTGGATACAGGACCATGACTACAGAGTTGATATTTCCAGTAAATTAGAGAATAAAAATGTCATGAACAATTTAAATATTATTTATAGTTGACCTTCATGTCTGTTTTTAATATTCAATCTGCTGAGTGTTTAAAAAAGCAATTAAAAGTCCCATATAATGTTAAAACCCTTGATAAATGTAATAAACAAATGACATATTCAAAAGAGAGAATCTATGTCCCATTAGGAGAGAAAAAGAAAGATGAGAGCAACATATGGCAGTATAATTAGAATGATTAGGGAAGCACATCAACAGAATTTATGCTGCAGGGAAAATGTAATAAGAAACCAACACACTTTCCTCACTGCCTTGAAAACTGCAAATATCGCTCTCTGAAAAGGAGAAGATGCAGAAAGGGTCCCTGGCATTTAAAGCTGTAACTTGTGTTCTTCTGTCATTATTAAAGATGCACACAGCCATCTGCAAACCATTTATTTTTTGCAGAGTTCACATTGTCCCATTGCTTTGATTAATAAGGAGCAATATTACACCTCAGCTGCTTTTCAGAAAGATGCTATTTTGGAAACCTAATTAATACTCATTCCACAGTTAGCTTGAGGTGTTCGTTAGTGCCAGATACTGAGTTCTTATTTGTTTCTCATTATGTGGAGAGTATTGCCTCTCAATGCCAGCCTTCTTGTTTTGCATTTTGGAATAACCTTTCGACACTCCTGCTTGCCACAGCCCTCCCTTCAGAAGAGCTAATAACACCTGTCATCATTATTTTCACATGCCTGTTAATGTCTGTTGAAGACATTGTGGGCTATTTACATAGATAGGCTATCCTGCTGCACAGCAAATATTCCTGCTATTTTCTGAACAGTTGGGCCAAAGAGAAAAGCAAAATTTAGAAACTTTGAAATGCAATTAAAATCTCAGTTTACCACTAAGGGTCAGTATATACTAGGCAAATGAATCATTACAAAATTGAAAGTGTGTGTATGGCTTAGCAGAATACCAAATAATTTTTCTGCTCAAATCCCTCCAGATTATTTAATAAAAACCACAAAAAAATCTACAGCAGAATATAGACACTGAACTTGTATAAACTCCATCAGCCCACTTTGATGAAACAGCCTGAGGTTTAGCAGAGGGTGCACAGATATCTTGCTTGAGATTTGCTCCCAGTGCTGCTATCCTCACTGGAGGATAAAGGAGAGAATAGGGCAAAGCAGACGGCATTTAGCATCCGCTCAGTTGCCAAGTATAATGCTGTGCCTGAAAAGGTTAAATGTAATTGCACATGTCAGGAATCAACAGAACAACTGAGGCTCTTTCTGGAGCTCACTCTTGCTCTGAGCTGCTATAGAAAAAATAATAAAAAGAATGAAAAAAGAACATCTGTGGGCCTGGATACTAACATGGATGCAATAGGAGAGGAAGAAAGGGGAGTTTGAGGGACAGCATGTTTTAAATGTGCTCTTACATTGTCCCCCCAGGGTTAGTGGACAGACAAAGCCTTATTTTCTGCAGGAATAAGGTCCCTCATGAAAAAAATAAAACTTGTCTCAAGAGAAAAGGAATGAGGAGGGGAGCCCTGCACCAAGCAGGACATTTTGTTGTACAGTGCCAGCTGTACAAAAGCAGACCTGCAGCCTGCAGGAGCCCTGCTTGGGTCCCTCTCCAGCCATCACAGCCTACCCAGGCCAGCTCTGGAGAGAGCCACCCAATGCTTCACCTCCTGCAGTAAAAGAAATGTTTTTTTTAAAGAGTGAAAACCACCACCAGGCTGGCCCTTGATGTTACAGGACCTGCAGATGAGCTGGGTGTCCCTTCCTTGCTGCCTGCCCAGACCCTGGACACCATGGGAGGCCCTTGTCCAAGCACAGGCAACAGAACCTCTCCTGCAGCCCTGCCTCAGAGTCAGTGCTGGATGTGACACTTTTGGTAAAATAACACCAACACTGCAAGAACTAATGGTGATTTTTCAGTTTGCATTACTGGGGAGAAATAATGGTGCTATGAGAAGGCAGTGGGTAAATCCTTGAAGACTTTAGCAGAATTTATAAAGATAATAAAAGAGCAAGAAATCCAGTAATTAAATTGATACCAGGATAATAGAAGTTTTCCTGTACACTCCACATCATATTTCCCCAAAGGAAAGTATGTTTCAGCCAAAATCTATGGTTTTTCTCAAGCAAAATTCCTCTGACTTCAGTGGAAAGTATACTTTAGAAAGGATACTTTAGAATGAAGTTTTAAATCTTATCTCTTAATATCTACTTAAGTATTATCTGATTTTGTGCCTGGAGGATAAACAACATATACCATTCTGAAAGTCAAATACAGTTCACACTAAATCTGGGTGGGGTTTTGTTCCCCTATTAGTTATGAAGTGTAATTATACTCATGTCCAACTGTCAGCCTGAAACAGCATGCTCAGTGATGAATTCTCCAAGCTCCTACCAGGTGCTTTGTGTGTTGCCTTTGAAATGCTGAGATCTCACAATGTTCAATACCTTGTCCTGATATCCAGTGTTGTAAATCATGTCCATGCTTTCATTTGCTCACAGGTCCTAGACAGTTCTCATCTGCAGCCTGTGGGTACTAATAACCAGAAAAAGCCATTAATATCCAAAGTGCTTTATTAGCTAGCAGCACAGAGAGATGGTGTGAGGTTAAACACCAACGGAGCAGCTTGGGAGTATTGTGGCAACGAGGAGTTTTGTGAAGAGCCTGGTGCTGTGAGCAAGCAAAGCCATGGCAGAGGTGGGACCAGAGCCCAGCTCTTCTTGCTGCCATTCCACACCAGACCTGGGGCCATTCAAACAGTTTCTGAAGGGTCATTTCCTTATTTTTGTTGTTTGGGACATAAACAGCTCTCAGTCCTGTAAGTCCTGTAGTGGCTCCTGTATAATTGCAGAGTCCTTCTTTAGTACTTCTTGCACACCCATGCTGAGCTGGAGTCGTGGATCCTGTCTGCAGTGTTTCTACAGAAAATGGAACCAAAGAGGGCGGGATACAGAGACACAGAGGGAGGAAAAAAATGGCTCTTAAATATAAAGAAACACTAGTCAACAGATCCTGTTCTCAGCAGGTCTTTGTGGAAGACCTCGGATTGTGAAATCAGTGAAATCACCATGCAAGGCATAGACAAAAGGCTCTGTGTTTTCCTATAGTTAATATATTTTATTTGTTTATTGATTTTTTTGTTTGAGTTTTTTTGCTAGCTCAACCCTTTAAGAGACTTGCATGAGTGGAATGTTAAAGTGAGGATAAAACTTTTGTATCAAAGTCAAACAGTTAATACAAAATGACAGTGAATTAATTTAAAAATCTGCCATTGATTGAAAAAATTGAAGTAATCTGTTAAGTGTGACTTTGAAAAAACATTTTTTTTTCCTTCTCCACCTTATTCCATTTTATGCTATAGAGTTTTTGTGGTCCAAAAAATAAAAAGGATGTTATGAGCCATGCTGACTTCAGCCAAAACCCTGGGACTCATTCACAAGGGGAATTTGTGCAGCTTGCAGTGCTGTCACTCGCTGGCTTAGACTGAACCATATGCAGGGCAGGAAGGCTGTCACCTGTCCTGTCTGCAGGTGACAAAGGGGGATGTGGCACTTCCCATGGCTCAGCTGGAGCTGGGACCCTGTTCCCAGGCCTTGCACACACCTGTCCCCCACTGAAAGGTGTTTTACTGCCTCCAGATAACAGTGATCTTGTGTAGAGAGAAATCATTTTGGCTGCTGTGACAAGGCAGCCTCAGACTAAAAGCAAGGCAAGTATTTCAGTGTCCCATATCCAGGGAACAGAGCGAAGAGTGTCTTTGCATCGTTCTCCAGACAGAGTCACCTCTGCTTGGTTTCCTTTTTTCTATCCACATCACTGCAAGTAACTCTACCAACAAGGGTAAAAACTGTCCTTAACCAAAAGGATCATTTTATGTGAACATTTCCCTGTAGCAAGACAAACCCTCTGTACAACAGACAATCTTGTCTAAATTAATGTATTATTTATTTTGTACCTTTTAAATCACTTTTATTTACAACAAGCCTTAGATACAGCTCACACGCAGTAGTTAAGCTCTGGCAGTACTGACGTCAGGGAGCTAACACAATTGCAAATGACATTTCTAAGTCATAGAAAATAAAAGAAAAAAATGACTAAAATAACAGTTTTGTCTCGGGGAAGAAGGGCCCCAGGACACGTGTGCAGTGCCTGCAGAGCCCCCGCGGGGGGCAGGACACGGCGGGCCGAGGGCAGGGCAGGGGCTCTGGGCTCGGGGCAGCTCCGCGCTGGCTAATGGCCCCACTCCTCTTCCCGCTCGCCAAGTCCCTCTTCTTCTTCTGGAAACACTGACTCACTCTGACTCTTCAGATGCTTAATCCCTGAAAATACAGAAGTCATGGTTAAGGTTGTGTTTGGCTTGCATCAGGTATTTTTTTTGTGGAGGAAGAAACAGAAAACCAAAATAAGGGCAAGTTTAATGCTCATATTTGCTCCTTTTTTCACAAACGTCTTAGTTCAAGTCATATGATGGTGTATTTTCAGCAGAGGTATTCTCTTCCTTGAATAAAGGTTCTGAACAGTATTTGCTTCTTTTTTCTTTGTAAGTCTTGGTTAAGTTTGTGTTGAACATGATTGCAGAGCTGTCCTGAGCCAAAGAGAGCCTGGCAGAGGCTCTGTCCTGACGGAGAGGAGACTGCTGGCACCAAAGCTGTGACAGCACTGGGTAGCTTCTTACAGGGACAATGTGTTCTTTTGACCTCCAAATACCACGAAGGGCTGGATGAAAAGGGTAAATACCTATCACAGGATATTTGGAAGTTCAAATATTCTGTTTTTTCTTATATCAAGTTTTTCATTTGAGGAAAGTTATGAAGTACCTACTGCTGGCTGGTTTCACCCAACGAGTGAAGTGGAGTTTATGAAAATGAAGCAAATTATAGATATTTCCCTGTCTCATGTTCAGTACAAGGAAGCAGACTTCAATGAATGGGCTTAATCCCATTTTAACTCCACCTTGGTGTAATAGAATTCGAGCTAGAAAAGGAAGCAACATCAAGATAAAAAGATGGCAGAGACGCCAGACAGGAAGAGTTGTTATTTTCAAAAAACCTCAAGAGCAAATGAGCAAGTTTAGTCTTGGGGTCCCCCAGTTTATTGCAAACAAACTGGGAACATAACTATTGATCAAAAATGCATGATTTGAACAAATTGTCACCCTGAGTTGGGCTATTTTCTGATGCCATTACTGTCATTGCATAAAATGATTTTTTATTTCATTAAAGATCATACATAGTTCTAGTAACCATCCCTAACTGTTAGGAAAAATGCTTCCCTTTTGTATCACTTCCTGTCTGTGATGAGGAGAAATGACACCCCAGCTGCTTCATATAATCACTGCTAGACAATCAAACACCCCAATGTGCACCCTGCAAGTCACAGCACTTGTAGGGGCACATTTTTCAAAAAGGGGTTCACCTTTGAGGGGTGAGGGCAAGACCCTCATTACTGTTAATTGTAAGTAAGAAGAATTGATGAGGGTGTATGTCCAAGAGCTTTGGCCCCAGTGTCTCTTCATCTGGAAGTTCCTACACCTCACTGTTTATGTCCACATCACTCCAAAACACAGGATAGATTTTTTCCAAATATATCACTTGAAAAAAAAATCTCAGCATATGTTATTCCAGTTCCACAAAGTTACAAGTAGCTGAAAACAGTATTTTACAATGGCTGTACAACAACCAGCTCTAGTTCTAACAGGAGCCCATCGCTCGCTGCTGGGCTCTGGGCTCCTCTCTCTCTTTTCTTCCACACAAATGACAGCACACAGTCTCCTGGGAAAGCACTGTTCTGACACAAACCCAGAAAATACATTAATGCTCCAAAGCCACAGTTCTTGTGAGTGTGCCCTGCAATAATCCAGCCATTTCCAGTTAAGAGCTGTGATACATGAAAGTGCTCAGCTACTACCAAGCCCTTAGCAGCTCCTCTTTAGCAACACCCTTTAGTAAGACAAACACTTTGAATTTGATTTCACCTAGCTACAGGTTACTGGACATTTGTTTCCAAACTATGTTGTGTTTTTAAGGTAAATTTGTCTGCTGTTGTTTCCTCTGCACTTACAGAGCCATTTCTTGCACAATTCACAGTATTCATCTAACAGCTGCTGTTCAGTACTTCTGTCAGGAATTGCTGGAGCCAGAGTGAATAATTTTTTTAGGGAGCTTTTCAAAGATGAGAAGGGCAGAGTTATGGACAGAAAAGAAGGCATGTCATACATGGTATGACGAAACCACAGAACTGTAGTTTTTGTAGGAGTGAAGACTTTTGGCTCTGTGGTTTAATTGCAATATTAAATATGAAAATTGTAGGAAATTGAGAGAAATTACATCACTGAGCATTACCCATTGATTTTTGCATGGCAAGTAGCTATTGATCTTATTTAATGATTTTTTCATAAGCTCCATTCTGCAGCCTGCTTTCACCTCTGCCAGTCATTTTATGTTACAGTGCCCCTTGGAAGTTTCCTTCTCTGACCAGTAAGTGCCCAAGAGTTCATATGCTTATATATAATCCTCAAGATGTTCTCACAGCATCAGGTTGTCAGAATGAACTGACCCTTGGTGTGGCATTATGAAATAAGATGCTCATCTACACAATGGAATAAATTAGTGTGAATTGACATAGAGGAAATGAAATTCCTGTCAGTAACATATGAACATGTATGACAGGAAATGCAGGTAACTGCCCTGAAAAGATACATTTCCTGCACAAAGCTGCAGACTTTTACAGTGTGAAAGATGACCAGGAGTAATAAAAATACTTAGTTAAATTACAGCAATCATACTCCTGGATTAAAAGCGTATCTAGCCACATAACACTGCAGTAGCCCTCCGTGGCTGCCAAGGGTGGTCAGAAGGCAGTGGAGCTGGGCAGGTGCACACTGGCACTCTCAGCCACAGCTCCAGAGCAGAGGCTGGCACAGTGGCTCTCCAGCGTGGCTCCAGTGGGGTTATTCAGGCTGTGCCCTGCCCTTTGTCAATATGAACCCTGTGACAAGCAGGCAGTGAGGTGAAGCTCTACCCACAGAGCGTATTGCTGGATCAGTTCAGCATCTTTGCTTAGCAATATCTGAATTGTTTGCTGAAAGGTTACATTCTGTCAGAGACTGAGTAATAATTCATTACTCAGGTCATCTCAGCCGTTTTTACAACCACAACTATGGCAGCACTAATTTATGAGAAAGGATATTTCCTTCTCATATTTCCAATCTTTGTACCAGTGACACAGCTCATGCCCTCAGCTTTCTCAGCTAGTAACCAAGAAGGACCAAAATGCTGTAGTTTGGGGATTATTTCTGTTCGCTGATTGAACACGGTGTAAAGATGAGCATGAAATACAGACTGTAAGATTTTACTTGTAGCAAAAAGCTAAAATATTTTAGAAGAAATTGTTTGTATGTAAGAGTACATCCAAATTAGAAACATCAAGTTACTGATTCCACATAAACTGCACAAACTTTACAGTGTCAGTAGCAAATAGGGAGGAGTGCAAATGCTGATCCATGGAGTCACCCTGTCCCATCAATATCCCTTTTTCAGGCAGTGAATTTGTGGGCACTCAGTTTCCTGAAGAGCTGTGCCTGCTGCTCCATTTCTCTCACTGGGTGCCCTGCCCTGCTCTGCCCTTTCTTGGGGATGGGGCTCACAGGGTGCCACCCTTCCGCTGTCCCCATGGGCTCCCAATTCCCTCTGCTTCTGATGTCCCAATCCCCTCTGCAGCTGACCCAGCCCCTGCTTCACAGTGTCACACCTTCCCTGGGCTCCACTCTTCACCTGGGATGTCTGGCACCAAAAATCCCCTTCCAGACCAAACACTGCCCCTTCTCACCACTCCCTAAAATGTCTCATACCCACAATGTCTTCACAATCCTTATGCTACTTTAAAGCAAACTGTGTCTGAACACCGCTAAAGCCAGCAGGACAAGAATTGTTTTTCCTCAAAGGGCTTATGTTTCACTGCAGGTAATTTAATACAATTAATGTTGATAAACAAACCTGTAATTCCAAGCCAGATTGAGCAGCTATACACAAATATAATTTGAACTGTCAATTCTTTTTAGATGAAGTCACTGTCTCAAAGAATATTTGTAGAATTCTAGATACTTATAAATTATGAATGAGAATGGGACAATTTTGTGTCATTTGTGGTCACATCACATCCATGCTGCTTCATCAGCAGCTGTCTTTTAGCTTCTCTCCATCTAACCAAAGCACCAGCTCAGAAAGCTAAGTAGGGTCACAAGATTTGAAACAACCAAGTGTTCCTGAATTAAATATCTCCTGGAAAAAAAAAAATTTAAAAATATTCAAGTAATTAAGGCAGCTCCCCATCCTATTTAACACTTCTTCCTTCACTCTGCTTCACTGCCCAAGGAAGAGTGTTGACATTTACCAAACTCAGGATTGAAGTCTGGTTGGCAGCTTGAATTCCCTAAAGTTTGAAGGGTTATTTAGTTTTACGATTTGGAGCTGATCCTCTCTCTATCAAAAACACATTTCCAGATTTGCAGAAAGCAGTGAAAGGCACAGATAAAACAGGCTCATTTTCAGCGTTTCAGAACTCAAATCACTTAGAAATAATCATGCAAACAGACCTGGCCAAAGAGGATAACAGCCAAATAAAAACGTCTAAGCCAGTGCTAAATTAATTGTTTTCTATTTTCCTTAGCAAAAATGAGAATATAAAAAGAAATATCATAGACTCATACCACTAAACAGGAAAAACGATTATTCTTTTAATTGTACATTCTGGTTTGCATTTACCAGTTAAATAAGTTCAAATTATGTTTCTCTGATGTGTCTTCCTCATAATGTTTTTTTTTCCCAATTCAAGTTTTGATTTAAAATATGCCAACAAAACAAATAAACAAACAGACAGAAAACACAAAACCCAAACAAACAACAAAAACAACCAAACAGGAAAAACCCCTCAAATTAACATCACTAAATCCAGTATCCACCACAGGTCTTTGGCTGGGCTGGGTGCAAAGGAAAGCACTTGGGAAGAACCAAATGAAGCTGGCAGGTCTTCCAGGGCATACATAGGGATGGTCCCTGCAGTTACAGGAGGGAACAGCAGCTGCATCAGGTCAGGGGCAACTTTGGGGCAGCTAACAGCAGCCTGCCTGTACCAAGGAATGTTACCCAGAAGATGATGGTGTCTGGTTGTGAATTGTGAAAAGACTATTTTCTGACTGGATATAAGGAAGAAATTATTCCACTGAGTGTATTTAAGCACTGGTGTGATTTCACAGTGAAAATGTGATGTGTCTCTTCAAGGAGATTTTCAGCACTGAACCAGACAAAGCACTGAACAACCT